GCCCTTTGTCTTTGCAATGTGTGGGGCCAGAGGCATATGAGCTCTGGTTCTGGCTTTGATCATGGTCACTCCAGGAAGTTTCAAAACTTTCCTGCATTATCGAGTGCAAGCAAATAAAACAATGTTGTATTTTATCAAAGTGATTTGACTGCTTTAGGTAACCAGGTTCTGGGCCTAAGAGTACGTTTTTGCCAATGGTTTCCCTATTGCACAGTATTACATAGTTTATTTTTATGAATAAAGACATTTTAGCCAGATTTTTCTTTAGTATATTTTATTTTTAATTTCAACACCATTGCAAAGTATACAGAAAGTTAGATTTTAATGTATAGCTGAGTTTTGTTCATGTATTAGATTGAACATGTAAAATTAGAGGTGTTTACATTGAACTGCCACCTGACAGCTTACCTCCCCCCCCCTCCCCATCATGGTAGCCATTTGCCACAGAGATGTACTGCTGCAGCTAAGCTATTCTCTAAGCAAATGTTAGTCGTATGGATTTAATATTCCTACTATTGTAACATTCTGGAGTAAGACACATATCCCCTCAATTTCTCTGTTTGTCCATAATAGCAGGGGACCTAACCTTTACAATATAGTTTCCCTCAGCTTCGATGCTGATCTGACAAACCAGAGTCTGTAAAAGGGATGGACTCACCCTTCCTATGGAAAACAATAGAAATAAAGGAAGTCAGGAGGGAGGGAGAAGAGAGAATCAATGGCTGGTCTCCTTGCTCCCATCAAACCAGCTTAGAAAGAAAGAAAGGAACAGAATATTTACAGTACCACAAATGAAATAGTTATCCTGCCTCCTTTATGAATTGTTTATATTTGCAAATGAATCAATGCAACTAAGTTTGTACTTTAATTTTTATATATTTTATATTGATTGTTTGGATTAAGTGCTCACCTGTTGTACAGGTAGTCCTCAATGTACAAATACAATTGAGCCCAAAATTGCTGTTGCTAATTGAGACATATGTTAAGTGAATTTTGCTCTATTTTGTGAGTTTTCTTGCCACAATTGTTAAGTGAATCACTGCAGTTGTCAAGTTATTGACATGGTTGGTAAATGAATCTGGCTTCTCCATTTATTTTATTTATTTTATTTATTTTATTTTATTAAATTTCTTTACCGCCCTTCTCCCGAAGGACTCAGGGCGGTGAACAGCCAGAAGATAAAACACAGGAAATACAAAATCTAAAATAAATTAAAACAAATTAAATAATTTAGGCTGAATTTTAAAATACCCCATAATTAAACAGATTAAAAATTTATGTTTAAAATTTAAATTTAAAAGAGGAGATGATTTAGGCCAGGCCAGCTTGATGAAATAAAAACGTTTTAATCGCGCGACGGAAGGTGCGAAGATCCGGGATCCTCCGTATCTCCGGGGGGAGCTCGTTCCAGATCGTAGGTGCCCCCACAGAGAAGGCTCTCCCCCTGGGGGCCGCCAGCTGACATTGTTTGGCCGACGGCACCCGGAGGAGCCCCTCTCTATGGGAGCGTACTGGCCGGTGGGAAGCTATTGGTGGTAGCAGGCGGTCCCGTAGATAACCAGGTCCTAAGCCATTTTGCCTATCAGGAGGTCTCAAAAGGTATTCACTTGAACCTGGGACACTGTGACTGTCATAAATATGATGGTTTCATAGTTTCAAAAAGATATTGATACTCTGGAAAGAATCCAGAGAAGAGCAATTAAAATGATTTGGGGCTAGAGGCTAAAACATATTAATTTGGTATGTCTAATTTAGTGTAAGGACTAAGGGGTGACAGGATAACAGTGTTTCAATATTTGAAGGGCTGCCACAAAGAAGAGGGGGTCAATCTATTTTCCAAAGGCCAGAAGGCAAGACAAGAAACAATGAATGGAAACTAAGAGAGAAGAGAGAAACTAGGATCGTAGCAACTGGAAATAAGAAGAAATTTCATGACAGTGATAACACTCCACCAGTAGAACAGCTTGCCTTCAGAAATTGTGGGTGCTTCCTCACTGGAGGTTTTTAAGAAGGAATTGGTCATCCATTTGTCTGAAATGGTATAGGATCACCTACTTGACCAGGGGGTTCGACTAAAAGACCTCCAAGATCCCTTCCATCTATGATGATGATGTTGATGATGATAATGATGGTGATTTAGTTGCTAAGCATCTGAATTTTGATCATATGACAATGGGGTTGTTACAACGGTTGTATGTGTGAAAAATGACACTGAAAATGGCACTGAAAAATCTTTTTCAGTGCCATTGTGACTCTGAACAGTCACTAAATGAACTTTTGTAAGTTGACCTGTATATCTCTTTACGGGAGACATTTCTACTCGGACTTTTCAAAAGTGTTCAGCTGAACACCCAACTGCTCAGTTCAAGTTTTAGACTCCTTTTTTTTTAGTTTTTCAGGAAGCATATGCTCCTCAAGGAAGCATCTGCTCCTCTTTACATCCATAGGAGAAACCATTTGGTTAGATCTTTAAACAATACATTCACCCTCTATTCCAGGGGTGTCAAATTCAAGGCCCAGGGGCCAGATCCAGCCCGCTGGGTGCTTAGATCTGGCCCGCAGGTCCGCCTTAGAAACAGCGAAGCACTGACCTGTGGTGCCTCTGACAATGAAAACGGAGCTCGTGAGGGCTGTGTGCAGCCCTCCCAGGCCCCGTTTTCGGCCGCAACGTGCCTCCTGCAGCCCTTTGCCAGCGAAAACTGAGCTCCGTTTTTGCAGAGGGCTGTGGGTGGCCATTGCAGCCAAAAACAGGCCCCGGGGGGCACGCACAGCCCACCCAAGCTTCATTTTCACTGGCAGAGGGCTGCAGAAGGCAATCATGGCCGAAAACAGAGCTTGGGAGCCTGTTTTCTCTGGCAGAGCACTCAGGCCTCCACAGGCGCCCCCAACATGAGGGATGTCAAGCTGACCACGTCCACCCTGGCCACATCCACCCCGGTTCCCCGAGGTGAAATACAACCCTGATGCGGCCCTCAATGAAATCAAGTTTGACACCCCTGCTCTATTCCATTAAAACTATTGCAAGTTTTCAATATACTTAATGAGAGCCTATGCCATAGATGGATATCCCTGAATTAAGGAATTACTAAGGTAATTTACACTGCATATTATATTCATTTGACTAGTGCAGGGCTTATACGAAGTGCATCAGTCAAAAGCAAAAAGAAATTTTATCTGCCATGTTAGGGGATTTTCATGTAATTATATCATAAGTAGCTATGAAAGCATGCATAAAATTAACTGTTTATATTGTTCAAAATTATATTCAGTGAATCCTCTGAATACCATAAATTTATGGCATTAGGATCTCTTCCACTGAAAAATAAATTTTGTAATCTCTCCACCTCTTTTTCCATCTCTCTCAATTAAATTAATGATTTCATTGATGTTGGGATTGAGTGAAAACAAATATACCACTTTTAGTAATTACATTTTCTTTAATAAGAGCGAATAATAAAAAGGATTGAAGCTGGTCAAGTAGGAATCCGTTGTTGTCAGGCTAGAAGGACCCATTATGCCTACACAAATCAGATGCCTTCCAAGGTCATCAGGATAATGGTCAAATAACCGCTGACTTAGAAAGACGGGTGGGTGAAGATTAGAACCTAAGCACGCAAACCTCTAGAAGGCTTTGATTCTGTATACTTCAGTAGACAAAACTCTGGCGTGTATATGATTTCATTCTTTTCTGAAATAATAATAAAAAATAATCTTGCCGAGCTATGTCTGGGAACCTAAGTAAACTAATTCTTAAATAAAGATTATGTATCAAGGTGAATAAGACAGCAGTTGCATTTGAGGACTAAGCAAAACTGAGCTATCTGAAACAGATACGAATGGAACCTAAACAAGGTTTAGCCTGTGGGAAACTTTCCGTCCTATATTTTTGGTTTAATCTACTAGGACTGGATATAAGGAGATTGTTTTGCAATGGTTCCTATTGCAATATGTTCATACATTAGTGCTGGGGGTTTGATTTATAATGTCCTATGTACACCTTATATGCCCTATACTGTTCAGCATCTATATTAAACTATGTAGACTATTTAGAGTTTGGCCTGGATTACCATCAAGTATGCTTGTATTATCAATCTCTCCTGCTTTTAGCTATCTAACTTTAGTGTTTCTGAATGATACCTAAGTTTCTGAATGAAAGGGCTGAATGAAAAAGACCAAACTGAAATTAGATCCAATGAAAATAGAACAGCTATTATAGAAAATATAATTGATAATTGGGGTTTAACCTATTCTGGATGGGGTTCCACTTTCCCTGGAAAAATAGGTTCACTTTCTCACTATCTCGTGACCTCAGCAGTCATTGGCTACACAGTACAGCTATACAAAGAACAGCATTTGAATCTATCTTGGTAGCTATACCCAAGACCCACTTGATTTAGTCAAACATCAATATCTCAGTTATGCCCTGAATTAAGTGCAATGTGCTTTATGTGGAATCTCCCTGAAAAGCATTTAGCGGTTGCAAGTGATACAAAATTTGGCATTTAGCCTCTAGATTGGTACAAGATACAGAAATTATATGATACATACACTGAAAATGTGTACTATAGTAGTTACTGGTTGCTTGCAGTCATAATTTCATGCACATGTTAATTTCTACACAGGCAATTTTGCGGCATCTCATGCTAACCCATGTAACATTGCTATTCTGTGAGCTGCACATTTACAAGATTGCCTTTTTCTTCTCAACCCACCAGATCTAGCAGAGAGGGCATGCTCCTAAGGGAGAGGGCGTGATTTGTGTCCTGTGCAAAAAGCTTCCCCCAGAAATCTAGATATTCCTAACAAAACTGGCCTTTCTCCAAGGCATTAGGACAGGAGATAGGACAAGGCCTTTGATTGATATGATTGGAAAGTGTCATTTATCTAGAGTGTCAGACCGAGATTATTGGTTTAATTGTTGGATTTTAAACATTGCCCACTGTTGTGGGATGGGCGGCCTGAAAATAAAACATTAGTAGAAATGAAATTCAAGCAGTAGCTTTGCTTACTATGTTCTATGTTTATTTTATCTGAAATATTAATAAATCACTGCACTGTCCCTCAGATGGTATACAAAAATGAAAGAGAACAAAATCAGACTAAAGTGAATACATTGTCATAATAAAATTAAAATAAGAAAGCAGTGTTTAGCACAAAGAAACTTTAACAGAATACCATAACCTTCATTGTCATTTGAAGCACAAAAAGGGAAATTATTCCCTATGAAAGGAATTACACAGAAAGGATACGTATTAGCAACTCCTGACTACATGCAAAAATCACACTCCTGAAAATCAGTGATTTTTCGGCAATTTCAGTTATAGGATATCTGAATCATGACAAGGAAACATTCTCTGGCATTGAGGCCTATTTTAATTACTGATTTTCTTTCAGTTTTCATTTCTTTTGCATACATAGTATTATGAATACTGAAAGAAAAAGCTACAGAAAAAGAATAATCAAATGTTCACTTCTTAAAAAAGATGAAGGAAGACAAATATATGTGTCTCAGGAAAACAATTATGATAAATGAATGAATGTCTAGTAAAACTGCCAGTTTATTCATCTGCTGATCTGTTGTATCTGCTGTTCTTCTTCAGTAATTTCTGTATGTTTCTCATTTGGGAGCCAGGATATTTCAACTTAAGAATTACTCAAAAAAGGAGTCATTACAAAGGTTATCAAGGTGAAAGATAAGAGGCACTGAAGAACTGTAGAAGTTTTACTGCTCCTTACATCTTCAATCTCCAAAAAATATTGAACATAGTTTTTGAACTGATCTAAATGTCTTCCTTTGCAGGACACATAATGGAAAGGAAGTTGCTTTTATGAAAAATGTATATAGCTTCTAGAGTTTATGTTAGAGTGCCATGGTCAGGCGATAGTATTATGTTGTTGGGGTTTGTTAAAATCAATGTTGTTACTAAAATGTTGAAGAGAAAAAAATAAGAGGATGCAATGAGGAAGTTAATAGTGAAAGAGCCAATAGCTCTAGTTTGTCTCAATAGTACTTTACTACTAGTATAGAAAAATGTAATTGCATTGCATTTTAAAAATAGTTACAAGAATATCACACAATGGCCATAGTTGAACTCTTCTACCCTGTTTCCCCCAAAATAAGACATCCCCTGATAATAAGCCCAATTGGGCTTTTGAGTTCATGGCAAGGCCAAGTGCTTATTTCAGGGTTCACAAAAATATAAAACAGGGTCTTATTTTCGGGAAAACATGGTATGTTGTCATTTCTACTAACTGTTCACCATTTAATTAACTTTTGTCATGAATGTCCTTCATTATTCTTTTTGCTAAACTTAAACCAACTTTCAATTCATTTTCTTGATCCACTTAGCAGATGTCTTCTGTATTTTTTCTATTCCATCTTGCTGAAGGAGAGAAATGCAGCTTTATGTAATTCCATGATGTTATCTTGGACATCTCCTGCACATTGAATAAATGTTAGGGTCAAAGTAAGTAGAGTAAGTGAAATTTGTAACTGAAAAGAGGGCAGTGAGGGCAGGTGCCATTTCATCTCCAGTTAGTCCAGATTATGTACAAAAAGAAGTCCACATTTGGGATAGGCAGACCTTGCCATATTCTTAATAGGGAGAAAGACAAGGGACATTATCCTAACACTTTGCTGACATGGAAACACACTATTTTATACGGCATTACCCACAGGTGAAATTCAGCTGGTTCTTACCATTTTGCTCAAACCATTAGTAAATTGCTTAGGCAGTTCAGAGAACCGGTTAAAAATAAAGAGAGACCCGCAGCCCCATTGCGAACCGTTAGTAAAGCTAAGTAGAACCCACCCCTGCTGAGGCATACATACATCAGCATTTGTCTTGGTGATGGAGTTTGGTTTTGTTCTTTCTATGACCCTTCTTTTAGTACAAAGTGCCCTCATACAGCACTTCAATCAATAGTCTCCAGTGCAATGGCTCATGCTAGATAATGTTCTTAGACTGGTGAATTTCATAATTCCCAAGAATTGAGTGTTATAATTATGCTGCTTAGGCTAGGAGGCCCTGTCACATCATCTCATAAAGATTAAAAGGTAAAGGTAAAGGTTCCCCTCGCGCATATGTGCTAGTCATTCCCAACTCTAAGGGGTGGTGCTCATCTCTGTTTCAAAGCCAAAGAGCCAGCGCTGTCCGAATATGTCTCCATGATCATGTGGCCAGCATGACTAAATGCCAAAGGCGCACGGAACACTGTTACCTTCCCACCAAAGGTGGTCCCTATTTTTCTACTTGTATTTTTTACGTGCTTTCAAATTACTAGGCTGGCGGAAACTGGGACAAGTAACGGGAGCTCATCCCGTTATGCAGCACTAGAGATTCGAACTGTAAAGATTAGTACTCACAATTGCATCTCACCACCTTTGCTCTTCAACACAACAAGAGCAACTAAGAAAGGAATAAGGCAGATGGGGGTTATGATGAGAGCCAGCAAAATATTTTCAGGTGGGTCTTGGAGAGGTTGATTCTGCAGGGTGCAATTGATGAAGTAGTTATGGTGGCTGATGATGATGTACTCCTCAGCCATCGAATTCGGGTAGTTAAGCTCCAGTTTATCAGCTCCATTTTCCAAGCATTTTCTCAGGTGACTGTATGGCCTATAAAGATAACCAAGAGTCAAGGAAACAAAATAAGAAGATAGGAACAGAATTACTAGTGTAAGCAAAATACTCAGAAAAAAATTGTTGGTCCATTCAGACTTACTCTCCAAAGTTAGAGAATGAGAAATAATTGCATGCACATGAGTGAACATATATAGGCATGCAGACCCCATGCCTATACATGTTTTCTTATCTAATGTAAAAAACAGGAAAATATACAAATCAAATATGTGGGAGGAATGGTCTGAGTATTTCCTCAAAACGCATTGGGACTTTGGATAATATTAATCTTCATTTTCATATTTTCCCCATCTAATGTGGTCAAATATCTTATGATTAAAAAATGTATGGCTCCATGGTGTACAGTATTTTGGGAATGTTTTAAATATATGTATTTGTTTAAACAATTTATATAGCCTCCCATCTCACAAAAGTGATTCTGGGAAACACACTGTTAAAAACAGTAAGTGACAACTATGTTAAAAGTCACAAACACAGCTCAACCCATTAAAAATCCCAAAATTTTTACTCTATTAGTACTATTTTTATTCTAGCAAGTATAATAATAAGTATAATATATCTTTCAAAGTCTGAATGTGCTTGTCTCTCCCTCCCTTTATCCATGCACGAACTAGGGAAAAGCTCATCTGAGACAATTTCCCAAGTTATTTTCTTGGCCCAGACTCAGCGTCTTTTATCTAACTATTGTCTTGGTAGCAGCTCTTCCTCTTGCCTTCAAAGCTGTTCCCTCTGCTCTGCACATCAACCACCATTAGCCAGCAATGCTAACCTAAGTATCCAGCCCAAATGCCTGGGAGAATAGCCAGGTCTTCAATCCTTACAAAAAGCTAACAAGGTTAGGGCCATTCAAAACTCCAGAGAGGTGCTGTTTCATAGGGCAGCTGCTGCCACAGAGAATGTATGATCCCAGATCCAACAAGATGACATTGTTTAATAGAAGGAACCTTGCTTATGTTTTTAATATGAATCGTGATAGATTTTTGTGAGTTTTAAAGAAATATTTCTAAAATATTCAGATTTCAATATCAAAATTCAGAATTTCAGCTTGCAATTTCCTTTTTTATCTCCATATATCTACTGGCCAGAAAATATAGTTATTATATTTGTTTGTTTTACCCAATGTCACATGACCTACAGTTACTACTTGCTCCATATTGTAAAACCCTGTTACTTTTTAGAATTATAACTTTCAAAATAATGAAAACATTGTTAATTCTTTTGGCCTTGAGGAATCAACCCAAGGAAGGGGGAGCATCTCAAGGAAAAAAATAGCAGTAAACTATTAAACGTAAGCAGTAAAATATTGCAGTAAACATCAGCTCCATGAGTAAGATAGTACACTACGCTATAGTAGGTACTTCAACTGTCATTAAGCTTATTTTAGAATCCAACATTTCATCTTTTCTTCAGCAAAAGATGAAAAGATACAGACACAACACAACCCATTTAAAATTCCCACATTAGTACTATTTTTATTCTAACAAGTATTATAACAGAATCTTTCTGAATACATTCAGTTTGGTTAGTTTGGTATAATTAAGCTTGTATCAAAAAAGAGACAGACTTGGATAGGCTTGGCTTATTCTTAGAAAAATTCCTTTTTACCATTCATTTTGAACGGAACAGAGACAGCCAAAAAAACATCTGTGAGACCAGGACAAAAAAGTGGACAGGACAGGTGTCAACTTCCCACATAGACCAGACAGGAAACATGAATAGATGAACTAATTCTACTTTATTGTAAGACTACATTAACACAATCTTCCAAGTCTGAAAGTACATATTTTCCACTGCTTTTTTTTTTTTTTTACTGTTGGATTAGGTAGGGCAGGTCTTTTCTATGATTCCTTCTCTGTCTGTTGCTCAGCTGTGAGCCCCTCTCCCTTTTATCTGATGCTTCCCTAAGCAGCACTTCTTTCCCTGGATGATCTTCCAAGGTCATCGTCACATTTCATTATTGCATGCTACCTAATCGCACTAATTTCAGTTAAACCTAATTATGATTAATTTAGTCTGAATGCCACCAATTAATTCAGAAAAAAAGTTGCTTACAAAAATATTGTATAAATATCTGAAATAAGAAAATGTAATAGATAACAGGTAGTCTATGATTCATGATTATAATTGGGATTGGAAATTTGGCCATTAAGTGAAATGGTTGCCAAGTGAAACTATGACTGTGCTTATGATTTTATTTCAACTTTCCTTTGACCTGTGAAGGTCATAAATGAATGGTCATAAAGTTACATTATCATCACTTTAACAAATGGGAATGGCTGCTAATCGAGGCTGTCGTTAAATGAGGACTACCTGTACAGTATAATTTAAGAAAGTATCTTCATGTTCTTCTGATACAAATAATATGAAACTTTATTATGGCAAAATCATACAACCTGCTTCCTCGGTTAAATCACAAGCCTACCATTTCCCATGGTCAGTAAAAGGTGAAACTCTACAATACCTGCGAATAGTCTTCCAATCACACCAATCTGGTTTGCTGATATTGGCCATCTGCTCAGTAAACAAATCCCAACACTGTTTGGTATGGTATTTGTATATAAATTCTAGAATGGAAAACATAAGAAATTACCCTGATGTGTGAGATAGAAAGAAATCTACCTGGGTCATCTATGGCTAGAATACTCTGAGGAATGGAGAAAGGTGTTTAGTAGAAATTCTGATCTATTCCCCATCAAAGCTATCAAAGTATAGGTCCAAGTTCCCCTTCTGATTTGACTCAGGCAAGGAGGATTACTTAACCCCATTTCAGACTTGTCTTTACAAACAGTTGGAAGCAAATTAATTTCGCATATCTTTTTTACTATCTTTTTTCAATTTTAACTCAAACTTTCAAGGTAATCTTAGTTAATAAATGTGTAAAAACTTTCCCCAGATCATCAGAAAAGAGAGGAATGGAGTTGCAACTAGACTCCACCAACGACAATTTATTATTCCAGACTGAACAAGGCTGGATGATTGTAACAATTGTGGTAAAGAAGCAAAAGAATGATGATAGAATCTCCTTGACCCCTTGATATAAAGAATTCTTAAGGAAATAACTCTATGGTTTGGGAGCTGGCACTCAAGAGATCATAGGCACAATATGTTGAGGAAAAACTCTTGACATTGGGAGAAATCTAGTATCAGATTTTCCCCTTTATTTTGTTGCCGGTATCCAAGTAATCTTTTCTGAGAACAGTACCCCCAATCCCATCATTGCACTATTGTGACACAAGCTGTCTCTTTTATATATGTGCGATTGACATCAAGACAGATGTACAAGGGGTGGAGCTAGCATTGCCTCAGCATAGTTCTGCTTTTGTTTGCATCTTAGGGAAGCTCTATCAGCTTCAAGTTCCTGTAGGATCTTAGAAATAAATTAACATGCCCATTGTTGGGAGGCAAATTGTCGTAAATAATTAAAAATACTTTATAAAAAGAAACAAGGATATGTGAAGACATTTGCCAATTTTCCAGTTCCCAGTGTATTATGTAAATACTTCCCTCATTAGGTACAATGTGAGGACTATCACAGGTAGTAGATGTTGAAAGCAATTCTGGCAGGACCATTTCTCTTGAGCCACCCTGCTCATTCTTTCTATTATGGGCTAGAACTGCATAAGCTATTCACTGTCATATGCTTTCTAAATGGATGTGCTTCTCTTCAGGTAGAATGTAAGATATTCTCAGCATCAAAATAAGATTCAGTGTACCACCCTATCAGCTTCTGGACATGAAAGAAGGAAGAAGCAAATCAGCACAAATTAAGCTACATGGGTAAACCCATGGTTCCTCTGAAAATGATAATTTCTGTTTTATCATTAGGATGCCAAGATGTTAGCAGAATTCCTATCAAAATTGGCAGTATCAGAAGGGTCCCCCCGCAATGCATTAAATTAAAGGTCTATCTAGCCTAGTATCCTGTTTTTCAAACACAAGAAAGCCCCCATATAGAATATGACTGCCTCCTCTAATAGTCATTGGCATGTTGTTTCTGATCTTGGACGAAAGAAGCAACCTGTCATGATAAATAACCTGTCATTTTAACAGCTATTTAAAGTTTCATCCTTCTGAATCTTTCCAAAAGTTTTTCAGATCAGTATCCATTGCCACATTTTGTAGGGGCAGATTCCTTAATTCAGCCCTCTGCTATCTAAAATAAGCATTTCATTTCTTCCTCCATTCTATGTCATGGGATAAACCTGGATTCTAGCACTATAAAAAAACCTTTACCCAAATTCACCCAGTTTCATTTTTTGCTTACCTTTAATTTCCTGGAGTGTAAGATTTAGACTTTTGAAAGAGAAGGTACCACTTTGGGGAGATTCAGTTGTCCCAGAATAAGCATGAAGTGTAATAGACACTACAGTTGAGAGAAAACAGAGACAATGTAAAAAACGGAGACAAAGGAAAAATTCTAACTATAAGAAATTTAGAATTAAGGTAGTCCACACTTACTGAAACCATTGGGGGCGAGGGCAGAAAATCCTATTAAAATTTCGAGATAGGTTAAGTGCAAACTAACATACAAGTTTGGAATTTTGAGTTGGGGTAACAATGGGGAGCATAATCCCACCCCAGAGAAAACATTAACCATTACGATCCTCTATCCTCTCTTCTCTATCCAAGGTAGCCTTTACCTCTGTTTGCCTTGGGCTGTTGAATGTCATTGTATGATTTTAACTCCAAATCCTTTGTAATCTTTATTACAAAGAGCCTAACATAGACATAATTATGCTCAGTTTTCCAAGACGGAACTCTTAATTAATAAAGATAAGGCCACAAAAAGTGGGGAAAGGAAAGTGGGTCAAAAAGCACATTTAATACAGATTCTTTGAAGCATGCATTGTTGGAGTCATATAGTAAAGTAGAGGAGGAGATGCAGAATCGAATAAATTACATTATACCAAGTGGATTTTAAAAATTATGTGGGTTTTCTCACCCCCCCAAAATAAGGTGTAACCAGCATTCTATATGTTGTATTCCCTTTCCCTCTCTTTTTTAAGCATCTAACCACATTGTCCTTAACATATATTTTAAGACATTGGACTTATTTGTTATAATTTTGGACATATTGTTCCTAATAAGACATACCTGACTTCGTGTTTGGGAACTTTGCCAGTGGGCCTTGTTCCATATTACTTAATCCACTGATTTCTGCCCCACTGAGACATATGCCACTTCTCTGAATTTGAGGAATTGCTATAACGAAAAGCAAGATCTTGTGTTAAGAAGTTCTGCATAACTCTATAAAATGTATTTATTTGCTGTTTTTTTGCATTCTCCCCACAATAATGTATAGCAGTTGTCAGATTTGAAACTGTGAAGTGTATCATTTGGATTACTTCTCTGTGCCATTCTGAACATATCAGTTCTATAAGCAAAATGCATCTGATCTCTACTTTTGACAAACATAAATTGATCTCTAAAAAGGATTAGGAGAATCAGTAAATGGATTTGACCAGCAACAGAGGTCCTTTACCCCTTCATACCTGTATGGTAGGAAAGTGCAACTTGTGCACAATATCAAACCATTTTTAATAGGAAACTAATGTAGCCTTTCATGTATGTCTCCATACATGGAAGGCTACACTAAAGCAAACTACCTATTTCTTTCATTTCTTCTCTGAAATCATTGCAAACAAAACAAAAAGAAGAAAAAAGAGAGCCACAAGTATTTCACAAGACACTCTGATTCATTCCCACTTCAGCCAGAGTCAGAATGCAAGTGGCATCACAAATTCTGCCAAAGGCTTAACACAGCTTGGATATAGAGAAACTTGGTCTATCAAAGGCTGGCATTCTTCCTATGGAGGGATGGAGGAGTATAAGCAAAACTGAAGGGAGGGACAAGAGGGCATCTCAATTCTTAGGATTTTATATCTGAAAAATACCCTCATTGGTTCTTTGAGGCAGAAAATAAATACTGATGATGTGGGATTAGGGAAAATAATGGAGGAATAAGTAAATAAATTGGGTTGGGCACATGCAGAGAGTAGAAAGCAGGGCTAGACCTAAGATATGGAGCCCATTCAGGTAAGAAGCAGGATCACAGAAAGATCTGAGCATTGGATTCCAAAGTCCAACCATCCCTTCAGCATTCCCTAAAACGTCATTCCAACCTGACCGAGATGAATTATCTGGGTGAGGACCTTCATTGTACTTGCCAGTCCAGAGATCAAAGCTACTATGAGCTCTCCAGTGTCGCACTGCCCCAAGCATCCTGTGCCATATCTTACCCAACCTGGAGAACCACTTACCTATGGAAATCAGCAAAAATAGTCTCAAGAGCAAAGCACGGCCATCCATCTTGTACAGTCTGCCACTCTGAAACATAGTCAGTCTGCTTCTGTCCTGTGACCAGCTTGAGATTTGAATCAGAATAACAGGAAGCACCTCCTTTCCTCTTACGGGGCTAGTAGTGAGAGTGCAGGAGACATGTGAAAAATGAGATTCAGGAGCAAGCCCTTCTCCCGGGAGCTTTGCTTCAGTGAGACTAACTTCTCCTTCCCAGTTCCCCACCCATTCAGAATTACCAGAACCTCTGTAACCCCGGGACGGCCATCTCAGGTCACCCTGCCTGCCAGCAACAGAGTGCCGTTCACAGCCCTGCAGCTTTACAAGGCCCAGGGTGCCTCAACTTGGCAATTTTTTATTCACTCAGTCAACTTGGTTGTGAAATCCAAGAGAAAGCTCCAAATGGGCAGTCAGGGCAGAGGGAAGAGCAGGGAACGTCAAGCTGTTGGAAGCAGACACTGCCTCTCTCCCTGTGCAAAACCAGACCCAGGACAGACAGCCCTAAGGCAGTGTTAACATCTGCACTGCTCCACTAACTTATGTATTAGTTTTAAGAATTAAAAGATGCCACAAAAAAAATATGCAAAAATGTGCTTCAATCTTAAACATTAAGAGTAAGAAAAAGGACTAAATCCTGACCGGGGGGGGTGAGGAAGAGAAGGGGTCTCTCTCTCCCCCCCCCTTCCTCCCTCCCTCCCTCCCTCTCTCTCTCTCTCTCTCTCTTTATATATATACACACATACACATACACATATGTACATAGACATACACACCCACATACAGTATATATATCTAACAACTGGTGGAGAGAGGGGGAAAGATGTTCTAATATGGTAGCCACTTGGGTATTTTGCCATAAATACATAACAGTATATACATCACTAGTATAATGACGTACTGAACAATTTCAGCCCCAGAGTCCCCTTGTGTGGGGGACATATAAATTTAATCAATAAAATAAATAATTTCAAAATAGCAAACCATCCCAACATCTTTTTTGTATCATGCTGATCAAAACTGGATGCAGTATTCCAATATGGTCTTACCAGTGCAGTATAAAGCAATATGAACACTTCACACGATCTTGATATTATCCTTCTGTTGATACAGCCTAAGATGTATTGGCTTTTTTGCAGGGGTGAAATCCAGCAGGTTCTAACAGGTTCTGGAGAACTGGTAGCTGAAATTTTGAGTAGCTCAGAGAACGGCAAATACCACCTCTGACTGGCTCCAGAGTGGAGTGGGACTGGAGATTTTGCTATTTCATTCCCCTGCCACGCCCACCAAGCCACACCCACCAAGCCACGCCTGGTTATAGAACCAGCAGGGGGAAAAAATTGAATTTCACCCCTGCTTTTTTGGCAGTTGCAACACACTGCTGCCTCATATTTAAGTGGCTGTCTATAAGACAGTGATCCCCAACCATGGCTCCACGGACCGGCAACAGGGGTGTCTAAATGTAAGACCTTAGTTTTCTCACCACTGAATTGCATTTTGTTGAATAGGGCCCACTATTCAAGTCTATTAAGATCCTTTTGGATCTTGAACTTATTTCCTAAAGTGTTAGTTATTCCCTTCAGACCCCCCAGCTTGGTGTCATCTGCAAATTTAATGAGGTACCCTTCTATCCCCTTGTCTAAATCATTTTATGAAGATTTTGAGCACATAAGACAAAACCTTGGGGTACTTCACTGCTTTCTTCCTCCGTGTAAATGCTTTCTTCCTCCATGTAGATGTAGTTCCACCAAGGGCTACAAATATTAAGAATCCATCTGGTGGTGGTGGTGCTATCTATCCTACATTAGTTTTATTTTAAAAAAATATTTTTCCTTTTCTACAAAATGATCCTTATTTTCAAGTAACAAGTTTATCATGAAAACAGCAACAGTTGATTACATTTTATTCCTGTAATGCTTATGCTATTTAAAAGCAGAACTGCCTATAGCGAAATTAATGAATACTGTTGGTGGTGGTGGTAGTGGTAAGCAAAAGCAGGTATAAGTCAGATGCGGGAGGCTCCGCCCACCCACCGGGACGCTTCTGCGCATGCATAGAAGCAGCGCACACACGCACAAACACACACACACGAACCGGTAGCGACAGGATTTGGAACCCGGCCCTGTCCTATTGGTTTCTATAGCCTGGCAAAATCTGTGCCAGGTAGAAACAATTATCTACGATTATCTTGACAAAGGCTTTTCCTTATACTTTTTGACAGAACTCATTTAAATAGATACATGGAAATCTCTGTGTGTGTGTGTGTGTGTGTGTGTGTGTGTGTGTGTGTATGTATGAGAGAGAATGAGAGAGAGAGAGAGAGAGAGAGAGGAGAGAGAGAGAAAGAGAGTCACTAACATGATTTTTTTTAAATCATACTTCTAGAGATAGCCAAGCAAACCTTGATTTAAGAGCACTTGTTTTAAGTGTTCATTAATTCACTTGCACTATAAAACATCACATACAGAACAATCATATACAGAACAATGACTAATTGACTAATAATTTCTTTTTGAATTAACATCGATATACATAAACTATCTATTTCATCACAGTTCTTTCCAAATATGCTGGACTTCGACGCCCATGATTTTCAAAGTTTTATTTTATATCGGGAGAATGAACAGTCTTTACAAGTTGATAGTTTGGTCAAGAATCAGTGAGAATGTTTTGGCTCTCTTCTGACTTTTTTAATGATTTTTTCAAATCCCGGATACCTTTAGCCCAGCTGTTAATTGTTGACTCCAACAAAACACATGATCTTCCCATTTTGATACAACAAGGCCGCATGTCAAGATAACATTCCAATAATTTGAACAACATCTCCACCCATCTCGGCATTCCTCCACCCTTAAGTAGATATCAGAATTAATCCAAGTCATGTTGTATCTGCTTCAAGAGTTTGACCCTGTTGCCTGATAAAATAATTTATCTAACTCCTTTGCAAGTCTGGCTCAACCATGAAATCTGCAACCCAGACCTATCCCCTGATTAGAGGGCCAATTGCCACTTTCGTGATCCTTTTCTCAGATGGCTGTTTTTTGGAACTAGTCAACCAGCCACCAATCATATAATTCTAACACCAACTTAATGCTATGTATCTGCAGGAGAAAAAACATTGCCAGTTCTCCAGAGTGTATTGGGCCTACTCTGATACCAATGGCCAGATATTCCCATATCACCTCACTTTCATCTCCCAATCTTTTAGTGGTTTGCTCTCCCATTAAAAAATTAAGAAGAAGAGACATGATGATCTTCTATCATAGCAACTCGGCAAACTCCCCGCTGTCCCTTGCAATAAGCAAGATTTATTTTGAAATTAAGAAAATAACCCCCCCTAAAGGCCCTGTTTCAGGGAGTTATGTTCATTCGAGAAGCTTTATATTAAAGAGGTATCTTCAAATATTATATATTTGTGAGAATGATTAATAATACTCCATAAAGAACCAGTTCTGTATGTGTGTGTGTGTGTATAACAACCAATTAACAACCAGTGACTGAGGGAGAAGACCATATTCCTTTGGTCACATGAGTTCAAGCAGATGCTGGTATGATTGCTGGAAGTGTGATTCTTACAATTAATAGGGGGTCAAGTTATATGGACTATAATCGCTGTTTCCACTTCTGGTTTTCTGTATTCACTATGTTGACTGTGTTGTCTAAAATGCTCCTGGATTGGGTATCACTCCTGACTATTGCCTACTTTCACCTTTAGCTTCCTCACAGATATATCATGATGAGGATGGTGATGATGATACTTTTGTAAAGCGATTCTTATATTATAGATATTCGTTTTGAATAGATTCCATACAATAGAAGCTTCTTTGGGATTTAAAAAAAGCTTTTCCTGGCTATAGGCAAATGCATTCCCAAGTAGGAAGAAACAGAGAGATCCCCTCTACTGCATATCCCAAAGATCCAAGAAAATCATACAGCACAACCATACACCCCAAAAAGAGTTTCTAGGGAAGAGCATCTTTTACTGTTAAATGTATTCAGTCATTTTGTTTCAGAGTGCAGAGTTTGGAGTATTTATTTCAAATGTTGCTCTTTGCTTCAGTCAACCTAGCCTCTAATTTAATGTTTAACCAGCTCATCACCATCTTGAATTATCATACTTCACAATCTTAAACTAGAGTATTTTACTGGGAACCCTTAATTGCAGTTGCCTCTAAATTATCCAAATATGATAATTTAATAGAACCGAAGCCACAAACCACTCAGCAGACCTACTATAGAGGCAATGCTCCAGAGTTACTTGCTCTTAGCTTCAACCCAGCTTAGTGCTGTTTTCCCAACTTGGGCCTCTTTAAATGGATGTATCACATCATGCAGGTTTTGGACCAAATCCAAGAGAGAACCAAGCAAAATAGAACTCTGCCTCTTGAAACCAGGCACAGCAGCTGTATCCAAGGTTGATTTCTATAAGCTCCCTGCCTTTTCCCTTCCATGTATGACTCAAAACCACACACCAACATTATCGGCCCACCTTCATCTCCCAAAGCTCTGTACTTTCACTGAACAAGGAGAAGGCTTCTCCCCCCTCCCTCCCATTCTCAGGGCCACACATCTGGAACAGATCATTTACTGACAGAGGCTGGCTTATCCGCACCAATGCCATTTGCTGAGGTCATAATGACTGGATCCAAGGCCTTAGTCGAGCAGCCTATGTGTGCTTAGTTGCCATAAACACAGCCACTGAAGTCAAAATATCTTAGAATTTGTAAAAACCAGTTAGCCCTAACCAGCCATTTCTGGCAAATGCCCTTGGATCTGCAGATACTGATCTTTGCCTTGCAGCATTTGCTTTGCTTAAAAAAAAAAAACCTCCGATTTTTTTTTTAAGATATTAAAAAAAGTTATGAACAGTCTTAGCACTAATGTTCTGAAGAGTTGGCAGTGAGAAACTAATTAAACTAATTATTTGAAATCAATTAACTCAATCACTGAGCCCAGAGTGTATCTTATAGGTAACCCACACCACATAGGTGATTATAAATAAGGACTATGCAGCTATATCATAAAGCTAAATAAAATCACAGAAACTCAGTATGATCAATCAAGTTCTACTTACTCAAGAAGAAGTAAACACTATTTATAATAATTATTCATTTTGATATCTCAGTTTACTATCTTCATAAATAGGAGCTTTGTCTTGTTCCTTGCCCTAGTTTTCCACTTCTGAAATAAAAATCAAGAAATGGTTGTCTTGCTAATTTATTTATTTATTTATTAAAAGGGTATGGCCACCTAGCTCACATATAATAATTCTAGATAACTCACATTTTAAAAAAACCCACAACAAATAAACAATTCCACCCATACATCAAGCATCATACCCCCCACTATGACACCATAACATTTCTTCGGTCACCACTCCTCTTCATTACCCAATGGCTAGAGAAAGAGCTATATTTTCATGGCTAAGACACTGGACTTGTTGATCAGAAAGGTCGGCAGTTTGGCGGTTCAAATCCCTAGTATAGGTCTCCTGCGTGAGCAGGGGGTTGGACTAGATGACCTCCAAGGTCCCTTCCAACTCTGTTACTGTTAACTTGTAGATCATGGCCATCCAAAAGGCTAAAAGGGCTGGAGGCTTCCAGGATGGTGTGGATGGTTGTTCCAAAGAGCCAGGGCTGCCAAGGAAAAGGAGTATGAGATCTCAGCAAATGGCAATATTTAAGGGAAAAGATTTGCAGTGCTCCCTTTCTGATATCAGATATCCTCAGGGATAGTCATTTCTGTAAATAACCAGGACCTGTATGTTTAGAACTCTAAAGGTAATAGCCAGAGATGGGTTTCAGCAGATTCTGACCAATTCTGGAGAACCGGTAGCGGAAATTTTGAGTAGTTCGGAGAACCGGTAGTAAAAATTCTGACTGGCCTCACCCCCTTCTATTCTCTGCCTCCCAAGTCCCAGCTGATTGGGATGATATGGGGCTTTTGCAGTAACCTTCTCCTGGATTGAGGAGGGAATGGAGATTTTATAGTATCCTTCCCTTGGAGGGGGGGAATGGAGATTTTTCAGTATCCTTCCCCTGCCACTCCCATCAAGCCACGCCCACCAAGCCATGCCACACCCACCAAGGCACACCCACAGAACCGGTAGTAAAAAATTTTGAAACCCACCACTGGTAATAGCCAATCCATGGAATTGCACCTGAAAAGAAACTGGGAATGTGTGCAGCTCATGTAACAAGCAGTGCAACACATACAAACCAAAGAA